AAAATGATGTGTTATCCGATAAAACTTTTTATAGTAAATTTAAATAGCTTATGTAACATTAAAAGCAGATAAATAGATTTGAAACTCTAACAGTTTGGTGATATTAAAATTTAAAATATTAATTTACAGAAATAGATTTTTCTAACTGGGATGACGAAGAAATTTTAAATTGTTAATAACTTATTTGATGGAGTATTTAACATTTAAAAAAGGAATGAATAACATAATAGTGTGTTGTTAGATACTTTTTCATAATATTTTTATTTTTACAAAAACAATTAAATTGTATATTTCCAATTGAAATGGATTTTTGGACARCAAAATTCATATAATTGATTTCAATGGTACCTATAATATACATTTTTAATACTGTAATAAATCTATAATCGATCACAAGAATATAATGTATAAACTATAAATTTAATGTATAGTTAACACTAGTTAATGAAAAATAGTTGGTTAATATTTTTGTTATACTATTATAATAATTATTATTACTAATTATGGTATTTTTTTTAATCGGTTTAGTTTTAGGTTCCAGGTTCCTTGTATTCCAATATTCTCTTAAAATGTTGGGAAAAATACCTTTTAATGTTAAATAACAGTAAATAAAAATGCATAAATCAATTTACAAATAAACGTAGATACGCATCTTGATTCATTATGAATTCCAATCACTAATTGATGTGGTAATCCTATGTTGTACCACCCATGTCCATTGTTCGTTTTCAATAAAAGCGTTTCCTATTTGCAAACGGAACCTTAGTACGACTTTATTATTATTGAAGTGTGCGCACAGATGAGTCATGTTTTAAATTTAAAATTGTTTTAGCATATAGTTAAAGTTTTGTCTTAATAAATCCATAGGGGCCCAATAAAATTAATAAATATCATACCGTTAATAACTCAAAACTAAATAGTATTATAACATAAGAATATGCTATTCATAGATCAGCAAACGACCATCATTCTTTAATTTATTCTTAATTGAATAGTGCACAAACATGATATTATATAATATAATATTTTATGGCTATACGATTATTAGTAATAGTGAGTTTGTAGCCTTGTAGGGTCAAAATTTGTTTTTTTTTTTAAATTTTATAGCCAATAAAAACTCCGAAAAAAATTTGATCTATTTTTAAGTTATATATAGGTATTAACTTACTTTTTCATAGAATAGAAATAGTACTAATATAAATTATATGAATAAGTTTCAATTGCAACTTTTAATTGTTATATAGTGATGAATTGTGTTTCTTACTTTCTTAATTCATTTTTTCATGCTAATAAAAAAAATGTATTAACTA